CCTGCCGGATCGCTGCCATCAAGTTGGAGTGCGCGTCACCGCCGGATGGAGGAGGCAATTGTTTCGGCTTTTCGTCACTGCTAAAAAGAGAAATAAGTCTATTAACAGACGTAATATATGTAATTCTTCACCGGCTTATTGCAGGAATGGTAGAAGTTTTTCGCGGTCAAGTCTGTATTAATTCCATTGGCATTAAAGTATAGTTTAGTTCGAACGATTATAAACAGTAAGCTTGATTCAAATTATATCGTTTCGCATATTTTGTTAATTCATTAATTTTACTTCAGAACGAACGCAATCTTCGTTAGCAATGTTCTGCGGAACTTTCCCGCTACTTTCCAGTCAAAGTCATGTCCCAATCGGTCCACCCGTTCCAGAGAAGGCGATTCGGTCGCTATTTTGACAGCGCGGAATTAAAAAAAATGTAGTCTATAATATGCCCATCCATGTCCGCATTTTAACGGGACTTTCACTGGAGGGACGTTCTGGCGATCCGGAGAGAAACGCGGCTTGCGGACAGACAGACAGACAAAAAAAAATTAAATGCGATTATCGTTATCAGCAACGCTAGTACATTATCTTCCCGAAATCTAAAATTTTTCTTTTGATATTACAGAGACACTCCAATTTCATTATATGTAAAGATAGATAGATATCATATACAGGTAAAGTACAACTTTTAAAGGCATTTAATTTTAATCAAACTAGGCAAAATTATGGTCAGCAGTATTTTTAAATTGGATAGTGTTGCAAGTGGATTTCGTCTAAATTGTATTACACTGACGTTGATCCTATCAGTGTAGATCGAAATACCTTCATTAGCTAATCGTATGAAAAACACTAATTTTCCATGAACACATAATGAAGTCCGTATTCATATGTACATGGGCAAACTATGAGACTTATTAGCTTTTTACAAAGATATAACATTAACTTTGTTTTTATACAATTAATTCCATATGGTATAATGAAATGAACATCATGTCACACAAAAATTCAAAACCATTACTTACGAAGAATAATTTGACATTTAGAGTCTATAATAAACTAAATACATTATGCATCGTTTTGCACCTGCAAATATTTATAGCTCTGCATAAAGTAATGCAGTACTAAAAAAATTACCTTTTAATAAAATAAACACAAGCGACAATTTTTAATAGTATGAAATAAATTATGCATTACGTTTTATGTAAAAAGTATAGGTTGTTAGGGGTTAATGTTAAGTGTGACATTTTAACACGAAAGGTGTTAAAGTTAATGGCATTTCATTAAACAAGTAACCATTTTTACAAAGTATTATGTTCATACTTTGTAAAAATGGTTAGACGGTCTATAGTTTCTGATCACTGTGCGTGTATAGTGACCAAGTAATTCACAAACGATATGTTGGTAAAACTTTTTTTAATCTATAATATTCCTCTAATTAGAAGTTCAAATTGAATATCACAAAAGAAATAGTTACAATATATTGTGAGATTAATTTAACATTAATTATACAAAGATCTAATTACCAAGAAATAAAGACAAAGATTTTCCATAATATAAATTAACAAACCGCTTCCAACTACCAACAAACTATTATAATTATCGAACAACTTGTTATCAGAATATTATAAGAATTGGACAATTACTTGCGAATTGCGATCTAAATGTTCTTAATAACTTCTTCGAAAATATACAAGATTAAACAATAAGGTTTAAATTCGTCTACCAATGCATTAATAAAATGTTGACTTGTACATTGCTCAATCAAGTTAACGGTAAGGAATGTATCTAGCTTAGATGTGAAATAACCTGGATATCTTATCCCACACTAGTTAATAAGCATATATTACCTAGTATTGGTATAAAGAACATAATAATATCCTCAGAATAAGAAGAACTGGTACTTGGCGACGAACAAATGCGATGGCCCGCAGTAAGATTATTATTTATTGATATCCTGGATATATCTCAGTCTTAATAAATTTCAGAATAGCATATGTCTGATTTGGAACCTTTTTATACAAAAATATTAGAAGATTTTGTGTTAATTTACTAATATTTCCTTAAACTATTCCAACTAAGTTCTAGGGATGTGCTAGGATATGGTTTACGATAATAGTCCAATGGCGGGATTCGAACCGTCGACCAAAAGATCGATAATCCGTACCCCAAACCTTTAGGCTACTGACGCTTTATTGTTTTTTATCCAGATAAGAAGTACATAAACCGATAGATTTAATTATTATGATGTAATTGGCTTTCGCTCGCGTGGAATTGAAAAAAAAAACGAAAGTGAGTAGCCTATGTGTTTTTGCAGACTATCCTCTGCATCTGTACCAAATTTCATCGAAATCCATTCAGCCGTTTAGGCCACAAACTCTAACAAATGTCTATACCTAAAAGACGTTGTTTAGCTATTAAGTTCTAATAAGTGGTTTCTTTTCGAACAACTCTAATACGATAAAAGTTTATAGACCGATAAAATCTATATAATATAATAAAGCGTAAACACACAATTCTGTTGTTTAAGTCAGCAATCACAGCATATTTTCGAACAACTCTTTTTTTAATAAAAAGCCCTACACTTACGTCACGCTTTAGGCTATTATATTTTCTCGCCGTTATACTTAAGGGTAAATATTTTGGATAAAAACCCTAATGTGCAAGGTTGTCATCATGTCATGTCATTTTGACATTTGTAATTTATAATTTGACAAATGTAAACAATAAAATAAAATTTCATTCGGATGAAGTCGCATGGGAACAGCTAGTATCTTACAGTTGAAAAAAGACACGATAGAACAAGTGGTTACATTGAGGTTTCTGCTAAGTAACGTTTCGTACTAACAAGAATTTGTCAAACTGAAGGAAGCAAGAACAGCTTTACAAGTCCAAGAAGAGCTAAGGTCAGCATAGCGATTGGACGATACAGATACAAGTTGCGTAAATAAAAACTCGTTCCGTCCAGACTTCCAATGAAATATTATAGTGTTGAATCATTCATGGTAACCTTTAAAACACGCGATGGGCCCTCACCGATTCCAAATATTTCTCTTTTTCTGTCACTGTTCTTTAATGACATTGATTACTCATTTAAAAGGATACACGGATTGCCGTTCAGAGTGTTTTTTCCTTTTGTTTTAATGTTTGTGCAGTAGCGATGGAAGTAAGCACCAAGATTATTGACATCGGTGTTCTCTATTTGCTTATGGCTAATATCTTTATTGTGTAAACAAGATATTTTAAATAGAGACTGCGTCTTGAGAAATCCTCAGAAAATCCCGTCCTGTTACAATTTTTAGGACGTAAATCGATTTACTATATGTGCCTTGATCAATGTATTGTAAAACTCTTGAAGGAACTTCTTTCCCACGAAACGCTATTTCTGTTTGGGCGCCAATGTGCCGCGTCGCGTCACTTGCCACTAGAAAGTTCTGGGAAGCGTGATCGCTCGAAAGCTATTTCAGGCGCCATTGCCAATGTCTCCCCGTTCGAATCAATTACTTCCTTGTGGATGAGTTCGTCTCAAACAAAGTGTATTGGACGTAGGTTCAATGCGCTGTTAATCAGCGACCTCTAAAAGTTTAGCTTTTACTATCTATACTAATATTATAAAGAGGAAAGATTTATACTTGTATGTATTGAAATAACTCAAAAACTACTGGTCCCATTTAAAAAAATATTTCACCGTTAGAAAAGTAATTTACCTGTGAGTAAGGCTTTGTTTATTAAAATCACGCGGGCGAATTATTTATACAAGTAATTTATATCAAAGTATAAAGTATAATTAAAAAAAACAGGTTATGTATGATAAAACAATTCACAGTTACAGTTAATTCTCGCTTCAACTAAATACATGGGCATAGATCGATAGTGTTAATATTGAAATTCCGATCATTAAAAAGCATCTTTTTGTGCACATTAACTCCGTAACGTAACAGCTGAAACACGTATTGCATAAACATTGTCATTAGGAGGCATGGAATTTGAGCTTAACATACGTAATGACATTATACATTCACAATGAAGCCACATAGATACTCAGAACTTTTGTTGCTTCAATACATGAACGGTGTTATTCAAAACAGTACAAGTCGAGTTTCCAATTAAATTTTTTAGAACTTAAAAGAACACGATTGTGTTATCATACATCTGTAAGAACATTATCTTTCATAAGTTAATGAACAGATGCATTGTATACTAAAAGTGTTTGTAACCATTCCACACAAAAGGGGTGAAAAATAGTCTTTTATTAACATTTTATACAGGATATAGAGTTCATTTACGAAAATAACTTCGGAAAATGTTAAACGGATACTTCTGTTTAATAGTTAAAGTGTACCAACGCATTAAATTAACATAGGTTTATAGCAAACTCGAGAATTAAGCCATAAATGCTTACGAATGCTTGCGTTTTCACCTGCTCCGTCCCTTTTATTGATATGATATTTAAACCGATTTACATTATTAGGCTCTTTTTACTATCATTTAAATAACAAGTCGTTCATAGTTTAGGTCAACATTACTATCCTGTAAAACGAGAATAATTCCCAAATGATTGTATTGCTATTGCAAGGCTTGACGTACAGGTATATTTGGAAGTTTAAAAAAAAAACTAAATGTTTTTTTTTTAAACTTGCAAAGGTAATTAACATTAAATACAAATTAATCACATATCTCTTTATATTTATAGTTATGCGTCAAATGATGTAGTTTTCTTAAAAAAATCTATTATATCCAGTTTTATATTTACTCTGAAAATCATTTTTAATTGTTATCGCTAAGTAATCTGTTAGAACTTAGCGATTAAGATCAAGTTAGTAGAATCCATTGAATTGTTTCCACAAATCGAGACTCGATTGAATTCTCCGTCGTAAACTATTTTAACTGCGCTCTATGTATTCAGAGCAAATAGATAAATATACAATTTAAGTGCGAAATATTATGAAATGTTTTGGCTCATTTATTACGGGAATTGTTTATTTTGTAACGGCGGTATTTAACGTCTATGAATTCTGATTGGTATGCAATGTATTTTTTAAACCGCTTAACAAAACTGAAAACCGTAAATATTTTTATTGACGTAAATTAA